CGATGTAAATTTTTAATTTGCAAAAAGGTTGTTCTGACAAGTTTAGAACCTTTGGAGGATTTTATTTGTACATCTTTTCTCACTTTCCTTCCTTCCTCTTTATTACTCTTGAAGTTTTGTATTGATCATTTATTTTTTGTGTAAACGAATAGGTTTGAACACAAATATGAGACATAAAAATGAGAAATTGTTGATTCTAAACTGTAGGTTGTTGAAATGTACCTCGATGCATTTAGCTTGTACAAGTACAAAATCCAGTGTGCTATTACTTATCTAAATCTAGTTTCTTGTGCATTTTGTTTTCGAGTAGTGACCAAAACACATGATCTGTAATAAGATAAAAATAAAGTATCTGATTCGCATGCGTAATCCCAATAAGCCTGATTAAGAAATGTAAAGGTTGGTTCTTTAAACCGGATGGCTAACCGATCGGTACTTGATTTAAACTAAACCGTCTGAGGAGGCTACTTGAAGGGTTTGGAACTGTGTTGAAAAATAGGGTCAAAAACCTAAACCCTTTTTCTCAGTTTTTTTTTTTTGTTTCTGTGGATTTCTTCGTCTTCGTCTTCGTCTTCCTTTTCACCAGCGAATCCGGCGACGATTCATCACCTTTTTGAGAGTTTCGTGTTCATGCTGTGAACAAGGATCGATTCGAGGTGAGCCTAGTACCACCCAACGCCTTTTTTCCTTTCACGATTCGTTTAAATTACTTATCATGACTGTGTATTTCGATACATATTCGGATGTTTTCTGGCTTTGTTTTTAGTATAATTATAACGATTTCTGATGGAATTTTGGGTTTATGTGAATGTTTTTAGCTGCCAAGGGCATGAATCGGATCTGCTCGTTCTCAGGTGTTCGACTTTGTAAGTAGAGTAAATTGACACTTTCCTTTCTAAATTTTTGTGATGTTGTGCTCTCTCTGCAAGCATTTTGATTTGTGTTGCTCACTGAACTTGAAAATGTTACAAAAGCCATTTATGCCAATTGACGAATTTATTGAAATTTGATCTTTCTTTCAGTTTGTTGATCCATATGAATATAATTGTACATAACTTTACGAATTTTGTCAATCTGAACATATTACAGTTTGGATTCCTTAGTCTGATACGTGTGTGTTAGTTTCTAGAAATTTCAGAGCTTTAGTAGTGCCACGTTCCTTGAACTATCCCCTGCAGTCGCTCAAGCGTTCATCAGTTCGGATGGCGAATGGTAACTTTTCTTCTGGTCTCAGAACCGAAAGCAGTGCAAACCCAAGAGGAGCATTGATTGTTTTCGAAGGTCTTGATCGAAGCGGCAAATCAACGCAGTGCGCTAAGCTACTCTCTTTCTTGGAGGGTTTAGGGCATCCGACTGAGCTCTGGAGATTTCCCGATAGACAGACAAATGTCGGTCAGATGATATCCGCCTATCTATCTAATAAGTCGCAGTTAGATGATCGCACAATTCATCTCCTTTTCAGCGCTAATCGTTGGGAGAAAAGGTTCTTTTTATCTTCGTAGCCACCTAATTTGTAGGAAGACTTTCTATTATGATAATAAATTATTGACATTTTCACAGGTCATTGATGGAGGAGAAGCTTAAAACAGGAACTACGCTTATCGTCGATCGTTATTCATATTCTGGTGTAGCTTTCTCATCAGCTAAAGGTCTCGGTATCGAATGGTGCAAGGCGCCGGAAGTTGGATTGCTGGCTCCGGATTCTGTACTTTACCTTGACATTACACCCGAAAGAGCTGCTGAGAGAGGTGGATATGGAGATGAGAGATACGAGCGAGTGGAGTTTCAGAGAAAAGTCTCAGACTTTTATCAATCTCTACGCGATTCTTCGTGGAAGGTGAATGGACTATAAGATTCTTTTGCTCGGTTCTCTGTAGAGTGAGATTTAACACAAAATCAAGCAAACTAAAACCTCTTGAAAATGTTTATGGTAATGCAGATAATCGATGCAGGAGAAGCCATGGAGGAAGTAGAGAAGAAGATTCAAGAAGTGGTATTAAATAAAGTCAAAGAGTGTGCAATAGGAAAGCCTCTTTCTCTCCTTTGGTCATCTTAATGATTTCAATGAGATCTCATAAAATGTGTTTTTGATTCATTACAAGTTTTAGATTTAGAAGGAAGTGAAGTGAAGAGTCAG